GCAAGTCAAAAACTACAATGACGAGGTTTGTAGCCAAGAATTAAAAGGAAGCTGGGAGGAAGCGGCCCAAGCCCAACACCTATATGTGGGGGTCAGTCCTGGGCAATGGGGATATGAAGAAGCGGAAGGCCAATTCAGTCCAGGAAGTGGGGAACGATAGGCAAAGAGATGAAACATTCCTACTCTATCTTCAATGAAGAAGCAAGAAAATTCAGGGTTCCTCCCAGGGGGAAGGGACCTGGTAAGAGAGAACAATCTGCTGACTCTTCACACAAGCTGGAATACTTATGCATTGCTAACTAAAGGACAACAACTAAGACACTAAGATACTGTTGGAACCCCAAACAGCAGCTCCTGCAGGATTTGCTCTTTTATTTGAAAACAAGGAGACAAAGAGCAGCATTTGTTTGATAAACTGGGCAGTTACCTGTATACAGTGCCCCATTAGAGGTGATTGCTAAGGCCGAAGATGAGCCCCACACAGAGGTCTGCAAACTGCACCTAAGCTTGCACGTCCCTCCAGTTAACCCATATCCCAGTAAGGGACAGCAAGCAGCCAAGTTCTCATTACAGAAGTAGAGTCCAGAGCTGCAGTCCATAAGCTGCATCAGACCCCATTGATCTCTTATATGACGACCATGGCAATGGCACGACTACTGTGAAAGATGGGTAGGAGACCCACATTCTGTTCCACTGCTAGGCAGGAAGTCTGACCAATCCACTGACTCCAACTTTGTGATGTTGTTAACCTTGCACTGTCAGCACTGATAAACATTGCAATCTGTGTTTTACCCTTGCCTTCAATAGGCTAAGGAATCTGCTTCATTCTTCAGTTTCTGGTAATGAGTAGAAACTGGATGTGGGTTTGATGTACAAAGGATATCTAGGACACGAGAGCCTAGTACATGCCATGCTCTGGCCTCCTCCAGCATCTAGCAGAGTCTGGGGGATCCTCGGGGTTGCAGTGTATGTTTTGCAACCTGACGCTGGTGATAGGCAGCAAACAAGCACTTCTTCAGCCTCTCTTGCAGAATCATGCCTTTTCCTCAAGGGTGCTTTATATTGAGGTATTACTTGGGACCTCAGGAGAACTATCATTAATTTTGTGTTTCCCCAGAGAATTCCAGTGTGACCTTGGACTTAACTGCTTTGGGTCTCCATTCTCCATGCACACTTTGGGGATAAGTAGTGTCTTCATCTGCTCAGTATTTGCCACAACTTTACATACTAAAGGCCATGACAGATTCAGGTACTATAGTAATATGGGCTATAGATGTACATAGCAGCATGGCTCTTTATTTTGCTTTGCAGTATCCATTTGCAACCAGCTCTGCCCCTTTAGGTAAATTTCCACCTACTCTATATGAGTTCAGCAATCAGTGACCTGGTGTGGTCAGCGTTGAATGATTCTCCATAGTCTTGCAAGCTGAGTAGTTATTTATGCTTATGCATAGGTCACTGAAAATCAAGAATACCCTATAAAAGATCTGCTGATCTTCTGAATGGCTTGTAAAAAAACACAGATGTCTTCACTGAAGACTAGCAGCTTACCAAGTTTCATCATCTGTTACCTGAAACTCTTATTCCATTGGTTTAGCAATGCGTTCTCTACATCCAGTCATAAACCTTTATGAAACTCTCAACAAAAGACTATTGGATTCTACCTTAGAAGTCGCTGAATTTGCGATGAAGAAACCTCATGCAAGTTATACTGCATTTTGAGATACAATATGCTATCTAATCTATATGTCTGTTACTGTCCATAATGTTTGCTTTGGTCTATTTACAAGACCACTTGGAACATTCCCGATCCTGCTTTCAAGGAATGTTAGCCTTTACACAAGCCAGGTTATAATGACAATAAATTAAAAATAAATAATGAAATCCTAGCATAAGATAACAGAAGTGCACTAAGGACAGAAACAAGCATCAGAAAACTGAAAGAAAAACCTACTTACCCAACTCCTCAGGTTTTCTTCATCCTAGAAAAAACATCTGACTGAGAGAAGACCCATTTGTATAACAGTCCCTTGTTCATAGGTTGTATCCAGAAAAGAAAACCAGACACAAAAAACAGGTTTTTGCATTTATGCCCCAAAACCTTTTTGCGGGACTTGCTTGGATTTGAATCCCTTCCTCCCACCTTTGCTTAATTGCTAACACCTGTCAGCAGTGTCCTGGCTTGCCCTCTCTTGTTTTATCATCACCGCATACAGCCCTGAGAAAAAGCAAAACTTGCCAGTGCAGAAAGACTGAAGAATATTTGAAAGGTGCGTAACTAGTTTTAAACAAATCGTCAGCCCATGAAGAAGAAAGAATATCCTTTTTCTACCACCTGGGGCAGCTTCCAGGTCTCAGGGCAGAGCCTCTTCTGTTCAATACACCTCACATGCCATTTGAATATATAGTCATACAGTCACATAGTCAGGATTAACACATATAGCTCATTTTTTATACTCGCTAGAGACAAGCCGAGATGGTAGCCAAGCACTATAGGTTAACAATGAGCTTATGAGGGACTGCTCAGTAGCCTGGAAATACCATGACAATCACTGAAGACACACAACCACTTTGCAAACAGGCACAATAATGTAAGATATTACCAGCCTGGACTGTTTGCTGTCACCCCTGCATCTTATTAATAACATGAGTGATTCAAGCCCATTTCAGCACAAAGTCAGAAAAATTGACTTAACTCACTACCCTCAAAGAGGGCATAGGCAGAGGACATTTTGTGGATATAAGGTATTTTACAGCTCCAATTACTTGTTACTATGCCTCAGCTGAACTGCATTAGTGGATCAAATGGGAGCTCCTATCCTAGCTCCTTGCAGTACAAAGTCAGCTATCCCTGCTTAAATCAGATGAGCCCCTGAAGAGGACTGGGAGTACCTACAGAGCACATTCACGTGGCTCAGCTGCAGGGGAGCAGCAGATTTGAGCTAAGGTGCAGTACGAAGCAGATGAAGAATGGTAGCTCCTTAAACCATCTTGTGAGATCTGCAGCAGCACATCTGTCTGTGCCCCGATGTGCTCCCTCCTTCTTCCTCCTCTCTGCCTCCTAGTGAAAAGTTTTGGTCTGAATTTGCTTTTCCACTGAATCTTGCATAGATGTTCACACAAATGGAAACATGGTAGAAAACACCACTTTTCTAGTGCATTTGCTTGCCGCGCCACACTGGCAGTGAAATAAAGTCTCCGTGAGTGTGGGGTGTTAGACTTCAGATGCTATCTGGCACTCATTCTTTCTCTGCAATTTTTCTACCTCTGCACTTCATCTCCTAGCTTGGCTGAAGGATATGCATCTTGCTTCTTGTGTATGGGAAAATAAAGCAGATGGTCTCAGTCTGTGGGACAGGTGTCCACATCAGAAAACTGTCACCATACTTGACACCTTCTCAGCCATACTGTCCAAGATTCCCCAGAAGAGAAAAAAGGTACCTTGCCATTTTACATATATTTACATTCATTTGCATAAATTCAGGCACCTACTAAGCAGACGCACTTGCCTTCCCATTTTAAAAGTTGTGCTGCAGCAAAACCTTCAAAAAGACTGGTGTGAAGGTAACTTGTTAAGTGCTGAGTGCCTGATGTCTTTGAGATACAAATCAATAATAAAAAAGGCCCTTCCATGCCATCTCTCTGTTCTTGTTCCTGCCTTTTGTCACAGGGATCAGTCTTAAACAAGGTTGAACAGAGGAAGCAGTTCATTCCAGCACTGCCCCCTCTCCCCAAAATGTCTGTAAATGCAATTGAGAAATGTTTTGTGCTGGATTTCTTAGGAAAAGCCTAGCGACACTATCAGAGTCCAAAACAACATGTTCCCATCTTTTTCCCTTCACTCTTTTTTTTTCTTTTCTTTTCTTTTTTTTTTTCCTGGCAAGGGGTTTTCTCCTCCAACCTCAAACAACCACAAGAGGACCTACATTTTTATTTTTCTAACTGAGGCAGAAATATTTCATTTGGATTGTGATAACTGGAACGCCTGGGGAATCTGGATTTGGGTAATCTAAATTAGAGGAGAAGTCAATGAAACACAGGAGGATATTGAAGGGCCCAAGTGCAAAGGCTGTTTCCCAACACACATGCACACTGCTGTCTGAGTTCATATGAAATCATCCCACGCAGAGCCTTAAGTCCAGCATCAAGGAAGAAAAAAAATCCGAGAAAAAGACCAAAACAAACCAAACTGCAGCAGATTGCTCAACGGTCCCTACGGGCCAGTTAGAAGGGCAAAAAAAAGAGATCACTTAATGCACTCCGCGTGGCCAAAGCTCAGGCCTGCCCCAACAGGACAGCCTGCTCTGCAGCGAGGACAGCGTTTAGTCTCCACGTCCCGCTCTGGGAGCAGAGCCGGGGTGAAGGCACCGGCGCAGGCTCCGGCACGGCACCCGCTCCCTGCTGCGACACTCGGGTGGCAATTACGCTGACAGCACCGCAACGACGGAGCCCATGGCCCAAATAGGAAATGCTGTGTGTATTTTCCAGTGCCAATTATTGCTGCTCAGGAAGACAGGAGGGGAGGGAAAAATGAGCATTTTCCTGAGAACTTTATTGATGGCTTCATTTTAGGGTCATTTTGTGAGTATCGGTGCTTGTTTAGCTTGGGCCAGACACCACAACAGCGCCACAGCACGGACGAGAGGTTGTCTGGAGCTTAGCGTCAGTAACGAAAGAAGCAGGTAGGCGAGAAGCTCTGCTGGGCGCTCGGGTTTTGTCACCGGAGGCCTTTGCCCCTTGTCTCCATCCCCTGCCAGAGGCTCAAAGTGACTCAGGCTTTGGCAGACCTACTGTGCACATTTGTTAAGGATCCCAGCTGTGCGGAGTTAAGTAAAGGAGGCAGAGCTTTCCCCACAAAAAAAAAAGTCAACATTCACAGTGTTTTTCAACCCAAAGTACCTTTGCCTACTAATCCTATCAGCTTGCTTTGCGTTTTTATAGAGTATTAACAAATCGACTCAGTTTTTCTTTCACAGACCATTAGGCTCCCCGCTTCTTCCTTTGGCACAAGGAAAGTCCGTCACAAAGATTTCCCGAGCTGAGCTGGAGACATGGCTGCAGCGATAGCGACAAACAAGGCGAATGCTGCTCGTTTGCACTCACTACCCAAAGCGCGACAGGCAGTTACGTGCAACTGGCAGCAGACCTCCACCCTCCTCCGACTTTTGCAAAAAAGTTTATGTAACTCTGCAACTAATCTTCCCTAATCTTGAGCAAGGCATCTAAATCCAGGGAATAAGCCTATTCTCTTCCTTCCCCCCCCCCCCCAAGTCTATCAGTACAGTAAAAAAGAAAACAAATAGAAGCAAAGTTCACAGCATTGTAATATTCAATGAGAGCAAAGTGTCCCGAGTCTGCTCGGAAGTAAACGCTCCTGCCCTGCCATTTCCCATGCACAGCAACCGAGGACCTTAAGAGAAAAGCTGCTTTTGGACTGATTATCACTTGCTCACAGCTGAAGCATGGAAATCTCCACTCTCACTGTGTACCATTGCCTTGCTTTTGTCTGGTATTTTTTTGTCTGCTATTCAATCACAATTGTAAGAACAGAAGACCAGCCATCTGAAGTGTTCCTTTACGGTGGGCAGTGGAAATATTTGACAGTTCTCAATCTGGTAAGTGAATTGTGTTGTACAGTAATACCAATATGTCTATTTGTTTGTCTGCCATCTGTGCCTCAAGACATATGCAGCTGGTGTATTTGCTGCTGTTAAACTGCTTCCTTTAACGGTTTATACCCCAAAGGAAACTAAGTAGGTATCCATGCTTGTGCTGTAAAATGTATTCACGGGTTTCATGTAGAAAGAATATTGGGTGACAAGGTGCTTGGCTTTCAAAGGGTAAGTACACTGAAGCTAGCTGCTTCCTTATACAACACAAGCTATCAGTGAGAAGAGGGGGAAAAAAGGTAGACTACATCCAGCCAGGATGTACAAGTTCAAAGTGTATTATTTAACCCTTAATTTACAATTAAGCAACAGCAATACACATGATAATGCCGCCTGCAGTTTGACTTCCATTTTTAATAGGTTTGCACGTCTTGCAAATTAAAGAAAAGGTGAAACAAAGCATGACGCTAATTTTGCCACTCAGAGTGCATGCTTAATTTGAAAATCAGTTTAGAGCACAAGGGAAAGAAATTCCAGCCTGCAAAGAGCTGGACATACATGTGACAATATTGCATGTGTTTTAATGGTGCTATCAACTCTTCGCTGCATTTCCTAAAATTACACAGAAAAATGTTGACTGTAACGTGTTCCGGCTCTTCTATTAGGCTAACATGTCACAAGGTACCAGTTGAAACAAAAGCACATGAGGTGCTCTGTTCACAGTCCTAGTGGTTCACCAGTGACTCATAATGGTGGGGGTCATGGGCTGGAAAGATA